TCCTGCTAGAGACAAGTATAGGGATCAGCTCGTTGTGCTAGATACTGGAGGGAGGTTTGAAAGAGTCAATGAGGGAAAAATGAGATGACCAGATGAAGCCTACAAAAAGATTGTCGTGATCATGGAGGTTAATGAAACAGTTGTAAAATTGATTAGGAGTGATCGCGCTCTCGCTACAAACTCTGCGGCAATGCTGACTTATATATGAGAGGCCAAGACGCAATTAGCAGGAGTATAGATAAGGCATAAAATTATGATAAGAAAATAGATATGTGAAAGGAAATATAAATTATCTCAAAAAAAGGTGTTAAAAACAAGACAGGCTGAGGAATGCAGCTGGCTCAAACACCTGCGTAAATCCCAGCGCTAAAATTGAGAGAGGCCGGACAAGTGGAGAAAGAGGAACAGAAAGCAGAAACTTTGAGACATATACATGAAAAACAATAACAACGGGGAACCACCCATCACACAACTAAAAAAAAAATACAAAAAATATAGCTGGAGGCGTGGGTGGTGGGCGAACACTGTAAAGGTCAAACAGAATCTACTTCAGAGAGGACTGAGAGCAGAACGAGAATGGTAGTGAACCTGCCGGAAGAAAAGAAAAGGCAGAGGTGCAGTGAGACACGGATCAGTGCCACCACAACAACCATATCAAACATGGGCCGAACAAGAGCAGAGAACTCACAAATCATCAAAAAAAAAAAAGAGAAAACAAGAAAGAAAACAAACAAGAATACCTGAAATACATTTGTCATTATTTCTTAGAAAGTGATATATAATACTAGAGAAGGCTAAGAGAAAAATATCTAGAATTATATAGCCATCATAGAAATTGAAAGAAATATTGGATTACAGCATTCAATAAAAGAAGTATAGTACTTCACTATTCAAATCTCAAGCGAGGTAAAGATATTAATATAATATATAATATATTTGATGAAAGATATTAAATATATCCAAATTAAGTGGTAAAGATGGCATCCGTGATCATAGATGAATAATAATTTTTCAATAAGTAGACACCGGGCCTGTATAAATCAAATAGATTAGGAGAACTTAAGAAGAGAAAAGCGAAGGTAGGAACATAGTGACGACGCTGCCGGTCTAAATAAAAAGATACATGTCTCAAACATCATACTTACTCTGACAAAAACTCTATCAACTTTACTAACACAACGGAGCATAAAACATTATAGAAATACAAATAATAAACATATTGCTAGTACTGTAGTAAAATTGTAATTGATTTGTGTTTTGGTTTTACAGACGACCAGTAGCAGATTCATTTTTCCAGCTATTCCTTACTCGATCAGGCCAATCGTCGTCTTATCTTCTCTTGTGAGTTTGCCTCAGCAAGGCAGCTTCTACGTTACCTGTTCATGGTGACCAATTATCTGTTGGTTGTCGGTGGATCTTGTTGGCCAGTGAACGGTAAGTCGCAAATTACGCGTGTTAAAGGAAAATGAACGTGTATTAAAAATACATGCAGAGATTTGGCATAGTATAATCTTTTGTTCACTTCAAACCTTGGGTCTGTGTTAGAAGGGCTAGATACTATCAAAGTGTCATTATTTTTTTTTCATTTTGTCCCTTTGACAATACAAGAGCGCGCGCCCATGTAGGTTACTGTCGCTCTGATTTTTTCGGCTGCCATATTCAACCTGACATCGAGCTTCAAAGTCAGAATAGGGACAAATGTGACTAGCAGCCATCATAGCCGTGACAATGTTGCCTTCGTATCCAGGACCTAGATGGGTTTTGTTCGGGCTTACTGAGCCCCTGTGCTGTGATATAATTTCTAGATCAGGCCCAGTGTAGGTCTGGACATACTTAAAAATACCTACCTTTTGCAGAAGCTCCTATGGATGCTTTAGGGCAGTGTTTCTCAACGGAGACATAGCTTGCCACCCACTGAATATTTGTCAGTGGTCCAAATATTGGAGGTGGGAGGAGTGGCTATTGACATCTAAGATGGATAGAGGGCAGATTATGTGCTAAATATCCTAACCACACAGGACAGACCCTGCAAAAAGAATTACCCAATGTCAGTTGTGCCAAGGTTGAGACACCCTGCTGTAGCGAAAAGGAGTGTAAGAAATGGTTTAAACTCAAGAACAATGATTAGAGAGATGGATGGATGGATAGATAGTCGGTACATGGATAAATAGATAATCAAGTAAGCATAATAAAATATTAAATATGTGACTCTAGATGATATTTGGGTATTCGCCTGTAAAATTTAACTCTGTATGTTTGAAAATATTCATAGTAAAATAGTGAGAAAAAAAATCAAAGCTAATTTTGGAGTTCAGAGGACATATACTGATTCAAAGACCAGTAAGATGTTACAACCCTATTCATACCCACCAATGTATCCATTTTTAGATCTTTTAATTCTTGTTTTATTTTTTTTGAGATGGAATTTCACTCTTGTTGCCCAGGCTGCAATGGCATGATCTTGGCTCACTCACAGCAACCTCTGCCTCCTGGGTTCAGATGATTTCTCTCCTTCAGACTCCCGAGTAGCTGGGATTACAGGCATGCACCACCATGCCTGGCTATTTTTTTGTATTTTTAAGAGAGGTGGGTTTCTCCATGTTGGTCAGGCTGGTCTCGAACTTCTGACCTCAGTGGATCTGCCCGCCTCGGCCTTCCAAAGTGCTGGGATTACAGGCGTGAAACACCGCGCCTGGCCATCTTTTAATTCTTACAGATATCAGAAGTGGTTGGCTTGGTGATGGCCAGTTTCCATAGGCCACATAATGCCGGAGAAGGAAGATTTCAAAGGGTCTGTTTTCTTTAGGTTTTTTTTTGTGTCACTCTTCTTTGGGCTTACATTTATTTGAATTTCTTCTGTTACTTTATGCTCTAAAGTATTTGTAACGATACCTACTCACAGTTTTGATATGCGTTTCTTTTTGTTGTTCATAAAATTTCTATTCAGCCAAATAGAATATGCTTTCCAGTCAGATCTTCCTGGTAATTTCCAAACTCTTAAAATTTTTCTGGGTTTAGAGTTTTAAAAAATGTTGATCAAAATAGTTTATTTTCTGATAGAGGTTTTGTTTTCATCTCGGCTCACTGCACTCTGCCTCCCAGGTTCACACCATTCTCCTGCCTCAGCCTCCTGAGTAGCTGGGACTACAGGCGCCCACCACCACGCCCAGCTAATTTTTTGTATTTTTTTTTAGTGTAGAGGGGGTTTCACCGTGTTAGTCAGGATAGTCTCAAAGTTCTGACCTCGTGATTCACCCACGTCGGCCTCCCACAGTGCTGGGATTACAGGCGTGAGCCACTGCACCCAGCCTGTTTCTTGTTTTTTAACACCTTTTTTGAGATATAATTCACATATCATACAATTTACTTACTTAAGGTAAACAATCTAATGGTTTGTAGTACATTCACAGAGTTGTACAACCATCACTCCAATCAATTTTACAACTTTTCATTACCCCAGACAGAATCTTTGTACCCACTGGCAGTCATTCCCCATTTACCTTCAAACCCCTCAGTATCTAGCAACAGCTGATCTATCTTGTCTCTACAGATTTGCCTATTCTGGACTTTTCATACAAATGAAATCACACAATATGTGGTCTTTTGTGACTGGCATGAAAGATGAAAGAAAAGTGAACAGCATTTTAGCAGGGTTCAGGTAGAATTTGCTTTCAGTAAGTGAATTTCTTTAGAGAGAATTAAATTTAGAATAGAAATGTCACGTGATTTTGAAATGTGCACAATAAATCAAAATGTAATGTATCTATAGAAACTATATGAAGAAATGGTACATTCTTGGAAAACAGCACAGAATTAAAACACAGGTGTTCAAATAATTGGATTTGCTAATTTTAAAATTCAGTATTAAGTAAAATTCCATATGCCAATTATTCGCAAGAAAATCTGAAATGTCATCTTGGTCTTACACTAAATACTGCATGTTGTCAAACTAGCAACAGGCAGTATTCACAAGCACAGCGAAACGACGACATACATACAGAACAGCACTGGACACTAACACAGTTCATGCAACTTCTCCTCCTACCTGATTTTGGATTTTCTTGGTCTATTAGTCGTCTCCTCTTCTGCATCAAACAGGGAAACATCTTCAGTGTCATCATTACTATCCTAGTAGGAAAAATAAATGGTCAAGAAGCAAAAGGATATTCAGTGTTTACACAGTCACTGCATGCAAAACTGCATACTCATCAAAATAGAAGATAAAATAATGTGGTTACAGCATCAGGAATTCAAAACCTAGGAAAAGGACACATGCAGATCCTCCATCCCATCCTTCTCAAATCATCTGGCAAAAACCCCAGGCAATAATCCAAGTCTCAGCTGCTCCATTCCTGCCCCTAGGCTGCACTTTCTGAGAAAACTCTGGGGTGCAGATGATGCTACTACAAACTTAACACCTACCCTCACCTGTTCTCTCCCAAGTCACAGAGCAAGCCGAGGCTACTGGGGATAATCTCAAGGTTTCTGGCTCCTTCACAAAATCATCTGACTGCATCCTTAGTTCCAAGATCCCTTCTCACAACTCCTTCTCTTCTTATCCAAGGCTAAACCAATTATTTGTGCTCAGAATAACTTCTTTTCATGCCTCCTCTGGGACTTGTTTCATCATTTTCCCCTTTATTTACATTTTCTTCTACCTTCAAGTCTATCTATTGGATCTTTCTTTGTTGTTGTTGTTGTTGAAATGGAGTTTTGCTCATCACCCAGGCTGGAGTGCAATGGCATGATCTTGGCTCACTGCAACCTCCGCCTCCTGGGTTCAAACGATTCTCCAGACTCAGCCTCCCAAGTTGCTAGGATTACAGGTGAGTGCCATCACGCCCAGCTAATTTTTGTATTTTTAGTTAAGACGGGATTTAGCGATGTTGGCCAGGCTGGTCTTGAACTCCTGAACTCAGGTGATCTGCCTGCCTCGGCCTCCCAAAGTGCTGGGATTACAGGCATGAGCCACCAAGCCCAGCCTCTACTGAATCTTTCTAATCAGCATATGCATATAAACTTCTTCAAGGCCACTTATTAGGCAAAAAAGATTTTAAGAACCCTGATCTTGAATCTCCCCTTCAATCCTCTACCTTCCCAAAGCATTGCTTCCTTTTACAACCTTAGCCTGTTTTTTTTGTTGTTGTTGTTTTTTTTTTTGAGATGGAGTCTTGCTCTGTCGCTCAGGCTGGAGTGCAGTGGCACGGCCTCAGCTCACTGCGACCTCTGCCTCCTCGGTTCAAGCGAGTCTCCTGCCTCACCCTCCCAAGTAGCTGGGACTACAGGCGTGTGCCACCAAGCCCAGCTAATTTTTTGCATGTTTTTAGGGGAGACAGGGTTTCACTGTGTTAGCCAGGATGGTCTCGATTTCATGACCTTGTGATCCACCTGCCTTGGCCTCCCAAAGTCCTGGGATTACAGGCGTGAGCCACCATGTCCGGCCCCATAACCTTAGGCTTCTAACCACTTCTAAGAGTGGTTCACACCTCAATTCACTGCAATTCCCCTCAACGACAACGAACCTGCTCCTGTTCCTCTCCTAGTGCCACTCAACAGCCTCCCTGCCTTTATCCCTCTCTATTCCAGCCTCTCCTCTACATTACCCAGAGCAATCCTCCCAATATGGAAATCATACCATGTCACTCTACTGCTCAAATTTTTCAATGGCATCCCTACAAGTATAGGATAAAATTTAACTCCTTCACATAAAGCATAGAAGATCACAGAATCTAATGCCCCATACTTGCTTCTGACACTGTCTTCATTGAGCACTGTTGAGCACTGAAGCAATACTGTTAACTACATGGTCTCTAAGAAACACTGCAATCTCTCTCCCATCTCCTGCCTTTCACATGTTGTCTCAGAAAACTCTTCCCTTCCCCATGCCCTGCTCACCACCAGGCAAATACCAAATCATCCTTCAAGTTTTTTAGCTCAAATACTGAAATAGCTGAAAATCTGTCTCTGAAAACCCCATGTTCCTACAGCACTTGGACAAATCTCCATTTGAACAATTATCTCGGAGTATTCTTATTGCAAGTCTACCCACTCCTACCTCCATATATAAACTGCTGGAAGACCTGGAGGACAAGGTCTTTTGTGTGTGTGTGTGTGTGAAACAGTCTTGCTCTGTCGCCCAGGCTGGAGTACAGTGGTATGGTCTCGGCTCACTGCAACCTCCACCTCCTGGGTTCAAGTGATTCTAGTGCCTCAGCCTCCTCAGTAGTTGGGATTACAGGATTGCATCTCAGCTAATTAGCCTGGCTAATTTTTGTATTTTTAGTAAACAGAGTCTCACCATGTTAGCCAGGCTGGTTTCAAACTCCTGACCTCAAGCGATCCGCCGACCTCACCCTCCCAAAGTGCTGGGATTATAGGTGTCAGCCACCACGCTCAACCAGGACTGTCTTTGCATTGTAATAAATCCTGGTGTCTAGCAGAGCATTTAGCCAAGTGATATAATATTTGTTGAAGGCATGAGTAAATAAGCAAAGGAGGCTATAATATACAGCTGACTGTGATCAGGGCTGAGAAATCTAAGTACAAATGGGAGCTGGGGAAGGAAGCAAATCATTCCTACTACAGGGCACTGGAGAAGTTTTCTGGAGGTGAGTTTAGCAGCTGGGCCCTGATAGTCCGCATAGGCCTCCCTAGACTAGGTATATTTTGAAAGGCACAGGTGGGAATACAGGAAGTTTGTCTAAGAAATGGCCAAGTAGCCCATGCAGTAAGTGACGGATGGGAGAAGCTCCTATTGAGCTAAGGCTGAAAAAGTAAAATGGATTCAGATCTATGAGACTAGTGGTTCTCAACCTTCGCTACAATTAGAATGCTCTTTTTATTTAAAAAAAAAAAAAAAAAAAAAAGCTGATAATTGGGTCCAGCCCTCAGTGTTTCAGATATAACTGCTTTGAGGTGTGATCAAATGTTAGAGCCAAGATTGAGATCCACCGTATGATGTTATGAATAAAAAGCTGAGGCCTTCTGCTCTTGATCCCAACAGTCTAATCGCATCCAGCAGCCGGGGAGACTTTTTCACATCAAATTCGTATCATTCCCCTACTGAAACCCCTCAGCACTATGACTGAAAAAACAGACTCCTATCATGATCTATCATGATCTGGTACCTGCCAATATCTAAGACTTTATCTCAGGCCACCTCACCCTTCATGAACTGATGTGGCAGGCTGAATACCTCCTCTCACCCTGCCAAAGATGTTTAGGTTCTAATCCCTGAGAACCTGTGAATATGTGAATTTACTTGGCAAAAAAGAGTTTCCACAGATGGGATTTAGTTAAGGATCTTGAGGTCAAGAGATTACCCTGGATTACCCAGCTGGCCAGATGATGTGATCACAAAAGGTCCTTACAAGGAAACAAAAAGGTCAGTCAGAGAGGTGATGAAACAAGCAAAGTAGGGATCAGAGGACAGAGAATTCGAATACGCTGCGCTGATGGCATTAAGATGGGGAAAGGGATCCCAGGTGTTTAGAGCTGAAACAGGTAAGGAAACTCATTCTCCAGAACCCCTACCCACACCTTGATGTTTAACCCCTGGAGCCTCATTCTGCGACTTCTGACCACCAGAACTTTACAACAGTACATAGGAATTTGTGCTGTAGAGCAATAGGAAATTTATACAGTACCTAAGCTCCTGCCAGACTGGCTTTTTTTTTTGAGACAGGGTCTGGCTCTCGCCCAGGCTGGAGTGCAGTGGAGCAATCAGGGGTCACCACTGCAGGCTCTACATCTCAGCCTCCTGAGTACTGCAAGCCACCATACTAATATTTTAATTTCTTGCAGAAATGGGTCTCGCTGTGTTGCCCAGGTTGTCTCAAATCCCGGGCTCAAGCAATTCTCCTGCTTGGCCTCTCAAAGTTCTAGGATTAGAGGCATGAGCCACCATGTCCAGGCTGGCCCTCTTTTCAGTTCCTTAAACATGCCAAATTTAGGGCCCATCAGGTTCTTTTGCACTTATGGTTCATACTACTTAGAACACTTCTCTTACCCTGCTCTTTGAAGACTGATTTCTTTCTCATTTATTCAGTAAATACTGAGTGCCTACAGTGCCAGGTACTGCTGTAAGTGGTACAGATTAAAAAAAAAAAAAAAAAAAAATAAAACAAATAGCTTTGCACTCCTGGAGTTACATTTACTAATGTACATTTACTTAAGATGGGGAGACACAAAGATTTCGGAGGCAAAAATCAGCAGTTTTATTTGGACATTTTAAGATGCTAGTATTTTTAAACCAAAAAGCATTGAGAGGGAGATCCACTGGAGTGTTCTAACTGTAAGACTGCATGTTCTGACTCATCTGTTAAATACAGAATTCTGGCTAACTGTAGTAAAAATCTGGAGGTAGGGAGAGGGGAAGGAGGGACAAAGGCACGAAGCTAGGAGACTGGTTAGAAAACTACTTCAATCACAGAGGCCAAGAAGTAATGGCTTGGTCTAGGGTGGATGCAGTGGAGTGATGAAAAATAGATCCCAAATACATTTTAAGGTAGAGCTGACAGGATTTGTCTGATGGGTTGACTGAGGAGGTGGAGAAGGGTAAATAAAAGGAATCAAGGAAGATTCCAAAGTTTTTGGTCCTGAACAACTAAAAAGATAAAGATGGCTAAGACAGATTCTTTGGCATTCCAATAATTAGAGATCACCAAAATAAGAAGGAATAGGCAGTGGGGCTGAAAAAAGATAGTACCAAGGAACATGAGGTGAGCCAGGAGGGGTAGTGTCCTGGAAACAAACAAAGTGCCTCCAGGAGGAGGATCCATCATCTGTGTCAATGCTGCTCACAGTAAGATGAAAACAAAAAGTGACCACTGTATTTTTTCTTTTCTTCTTCTCTTTTTGAGCGGAGTCTCGCTCGTTGCCAGGCTGGAGTGCAAGTGGCGTGATCTTGGCTCACTGCAACCCTCCGCCCTCCAGGTTCAAGCAATTCCGTGCCTCAGCCTTCCGAGTAGCTGAGACTACAGGCAAGGGCACCAACACCCAGCTAAGTTTTGTTTTTTAGTAGGAGGACAGGGTTTCACCATGTTGGCCAGGATGGTCTCAATCTCTTGACCTCATGATCCGCCCACCCCGGCCTCCCAAAGTGCTGGGATTACAGGCATGAGCCACCGCGGCCAGCCACTGTATTTTTAACAGGTCATCGGGGACCTCAGTTCCAGTATGGTTGGGAGAGGAGAAGAAAGGCTGACTAGAATGAATACAAGAGAGAACGGAAGAATTAAAAGACAAGTATATATGATACAAGTCTTTAAAGGAAAAAAAATGGGGTGACAAGTCAAAGAGCATATGGTGTCAAGTTTTCATTTTTTAAGGTAAGAGAAATTAAAACATGTTTATATGTCGATGTGAACAAACGTTTAAAAGGATCAAAAAATTGACGACGCAAGAAAGAGAATTACTGGAACAATGCCTTCCAGTAGGCAAGAGGAGATGGAAAACAGGACACAACAGACAGGAAGACCTAAGAATGGAGCACGGACACTCCAATTATCATACAAGAATATGAGACAATGAGTAAACATGCAAATAAATAGGCAGCTAGTGTGAAAATTGTCTTCCGATGGCTTCCATTTTCAGTGAAACAAGAAGCAACATTACCAGCTGAGAGAGGATAAGAGAAGAAATGTTGAAGATTTGAGTTTTAATAGTTGCCTAAGGTGAGAGGGTGAAGGGGCTATAGAAATGGAGAATGACCGCCTGGCAGCACTAAGGGCTCGACAGAGGTTCGCATCACAAACTTACCAAGTGGGAACAGTCGGCTGGGCCTTGCTCTCACCTGTAATCTCAGCACTTTGGAAGGCCAAGGTGGGTAGATCACCTGAGGTCAGGAGTTCAAGACCAGCCTGGTTAACATGGTGAAACCCCATCTCTACTAAAAATACAAAAATTAGCCGGACATGGTGGTGGGCGCCTGTAATCCCAGCTACTCTGGAGGGTGGGACAGACGAATCACCTGAAGGCGGGAGGCGGAGGTTGCAGTGAGCCGAGATCGCGCCATTGCACTCCAGCCTGGGCAACAAGAGTGAAACTCCGTCTCATAAATGAATAAATAAATAAATACATAAATAGTGGGAACAGTCGGCATGGTTGTGTTTCTCCAGCCTCATCCGGCCTGGGTGCCAGGTTCAGATGTCAGAAGCATGCGAACCTGAACAACTCCATCTTCAATAGCAGCTGGGTAAAATGAGGCTGAAACCTACTGGGCTGCATTGCCAGACAGGGCATTCTAAGTCAAAGGATGAGATATGAGGTTGGCACAACATACAGGCCATAAAGACCTTGCTGAAAAAGCAGGTTGCAATAAAGAAGCCAGCCAAAACCCACCAAGACCAAGACGGCCACGAGAGTGACCATTGGTCGTCCTCACTACTACACTCCCATCAGCGCCATGCCAGTTTACAAATGTCACGGCAACATCAGGAAGTTACTATGTTCTAAAAAGGGGAGGAATGAATAATCCACCCCTTGTTAACCTTATCACTAAGAAATAACCATAAAAATGGGCCACCAGCAGCCCTCCAGGCTGCTCTATGGAGTAGCCATTCCTTTACTTTCCTAATAAACTTGCTTTCACTTTGCCACTTTGCACTGCAGACTCACCCTGAATTCCCTCTCGCCTGATCCAAGAACGTTTTTGGGACAGAGGAAGTCCTCCCTCTGTCGCCAAGCTGGAATGCAGTGGAGGTTGACTGCAACCTCCGTCTCCCCAGTTCAAGCGATTCTCCTGACTCAGCCTCCGAGTAGCTGGGACTACCGGCATGCACCACCACGCCCAAGTAATTTTTGTATTTTTAGTACAGACAGGGTTTCACCAAGTTGGCCAGGATGGTCTCAATCTCTTGACCTCATGATCCACCCACCTCGTCCTCCCAAAGTGCTGGGATTACAAGCGTGAGTCACCGCGCCCAGCCAAGGACCCTCTTTTGGGGTCTGAATCAGGACGCCTTTCCTGTAACATAGCTGAATTTAACCATTATTAGATTTTCTCCACTCAAGGCATCTCCTCATAAGCAGTCTTTTCTGACCACAAATCTTCGTTGTCCTATCCTCAGACACTTGCTATTTCATCACCCTGCCTTTGCAGTTATCTGAAAATATCTTTGTTTATATAATTTATCGTGTCTCCCCACCCCACTCCCATCTCCTAGAACCCACTTCTCTAACCCGAAAATAAGGGGCAAAAAACTTGTCTGTACTGGTCACAGCCCTATCCCTGGGCCTACAACCATGTCTGAGTCATAGTAACCCCTCAATAAATTATGTGTGAGCCGAAACAAAAAAACACGTAAGACAATCTAAGTGACTATAAATACTAGTTTTTTTCTAAAAAGAAGAGATTATTAATCTTACTAGTCTCCGGTTGCCAACATGTGCACTACAATTTAAGAGCACAAAAGAGAGAATCACCAACATTAGTTTGGGAACAGCAACTTGAAAGCGAGGCTCTGGCGGTGTCGCCGATTCCTACAAGATCGCATCCCAGCTCTGGGGGTCAGGGATCTAAGAGGCCCGCAGGCCGCTACTCCGCACCTCCACCCCCGCACTAAGGGCTGAGGAAAAAGAGACCCCCGCTCGGGCTGGTCAACAACCGGCGTCTCCACAGCCGCAAGCAGTACCTGCTCGGCGCCGCACCAGTCACGCCTCCTCCAGAGGCCTCAGAACCCCCAGCTACCCTCCTCAGACAACTACCCACAGCCTTCCACTCCCGGCCGCCCCGCTCCTCCTCGAGTTCGAGTAGTGGGCGCAGGGAAGGCAGACTCCAGTCCCCAGGAAGCTGCAGAGCCCATCCCACGAGCCGCCATCCTCCCTGCGCGCCCTCAGCCCCTCACCTGCTGCAACATGGCGGCCCTACGCCAGCCCTACTTCCGGGAGCCACGTCAGCGCCGCAGCGTATGGGTCCGGGTCGGAACTGACGCGACTAGTCACCAAAGGCCAGGAGGGACCACGGTAGGAGCCGCAGTCCGGCTTCACTTCCGCTTTGAGGGAGCAACGCCGGAGGAGTAACTCCGGGGGCGGAGCGAGCGGGGGCGGAGCTGCTGTGTGGGGCGGGGCGAGAAGCGCGGACACGGCGGAGGCGGAGCCTGGAGCAGGAGCGAAAACCGGCTGGGAAAAGCATTGGGACCACAGTGGGCTCTCAAGTGGAAAGCTTCATGGTCTGTTTTGAGGAAATGTTTGCTGTCCATCCAGTGCAAATTCTGAAGTCATTCCCGCCAGCGTCGCTGCCCGGAATGCAGGAGGTCGGGGTTTTATTCTATAATTTAATTTTCTTTGAATATTTTACAAAGACGTACTCCTGTACAGTATTACTTTTGTACTTTAAATTGTAGAAACAACTTTTTAAAATATGTGCTTGCGAAGAAGTAAAACGTTAAGAAAAACAAGGCAGGAGGACTCTAGAGTAAGTAATGGACGGCATTATTATGGGAGGTATAACCTTAGACGCCAGGAAACTAAGGAATAGGAGTTGAGACCTTGCACCCTGGAGCTTGGACGCCTGGGTCCTCTATTGCCAATCATATCACCAACCTTTATGTACTTCTTTCGTCAGTCGTAAAGTGGGGATGGTAATGGTTTCCTTACTAGTAAATGGGAGTCGTTATTCTTATTACTGTTTTAAGTCCAGCAGCTCATGTCTGATCTTGCCTGAACAAAGGATGTGAAATTGAGGGGCGTTAAGTCATTTTTGAAACGGTAATGATGACAGTATCCTATCTGTCTGGCCTAGTCAGACTGCTGTTGTTAGCATAGTGATATTTGCACGTTTCCTTGATTGAAGGGATTTTCTCTATTAAAATAACAAATTTTACGTGCCATTTAAAACCTAATATTCTAATAATGAATGAAAGGGGAAAAAACACACACGCGTTTCTCAAAGGCGAGAAAGTTCGGCAGCAAAATCGCATTCGTGCCCTTGGAGATGAAAAGCTGACAAATTTGGGGCCTGTACATCCAGCCTGCCCATGGCAGGTTTTCAGTGGTCCACTCAGTGCTGTGGAGTTTTGTGGTGTTTCTGCTTTTTAAGGCATTCTGTTTTAATTCATTACCGTCTTTTAATTTTTAATAGCTAGTTGTTAAAGCTCATTTGTATTTTTAGTAGAAACGAGGTTTCACCACGATGGTCAGGCTAGTCTCGAACTCCTGACCACAGGTGATCCACCCGCCTCAGACTCCCAAAGTGCTGGGATTCCAGGCGTAAGCCACCGCGCCTGGCCAAGGCTTGAACTTTCTGATGGGCCATAGCTCTTGTAGTGGGCTGCAGTCTTCTAAATTACCTGGTCCCTGACACCATAGTCCAAAGGTTTAAGCAGAAACCTCAATGCCCTTGATGGTACTGGCCCTCTTTGTACAGAGGATATTATGCTAATTCTCTTCCTTAGGAGTTAGCCCTGAGAAGGAAAAGCTCAATGTCGTCAAATGCAACAGGTCAACCCCATTAAGGGCTTCCCCTTTTAAATTCTTAATGGGTTTCATCAGGCTTCTATGCAAAAATACTAGAAAACTCCAATGCATTACCCTGATATAATCCCATAACTTCATTTGCCGGAAGAACTAATAGCACTAAATTGATAGTGATGAATGGTATCTAATTTCCAATGATCGTCTCCCCATCCCCCATCAACGAAACTGGGCTTTCCTAATGCTCACTAAATTTTTTTCAGTGGGAGTACAGATGCTAATCTCACCCAACCTCCTTCTGTTTTCTTATTTTGATGATATCAGATATTTGGCTCAGAGGAAGATAACTGGGAGTTCCCACATTAATTACCAGGAAAAAACAGTCAAAAAAAAAAGAAGAAGAAGAAAAAAGAAAAAGGCCAAATAGCAACATCCACTTGGCTGTTTATTGTAAAACATTGTAATTTCCCAAGGCTGGTTCAGATAAATACATTTTGTCCAAGTTCAGGGGCCGCTGTTTTCCCTTGCTTCATGAAATTATCAATAGGCAGGCCTTTGATTTTCCTGATCCATGCAGCTTTGCTGGCTTTTCCTGGATCAACCACTCCAGTGGACTCCCTGGCCTGATATTCCTTCATCTTGGCTTCCTGGTGCTCTTTCTCCTCCTTCACGGTCAACAGCACGAACTCAGTGTTCACTCTAAGGGGATCCAGGGCTGTGTAGATGCGAGGCCGTTCTTTGTTAAGAGACAGGGTGGCTGTGCCCACTTGTGGAGCTAGCATGTGGTTTGGTTTAATGACCTGCATACTGGTCAGGGGGCTGCACACTGCCCTTTCAATTGAACTGGTCACTTGGTCTCCACCCTTTAAGCTGCCAGAGAACCTGGAGCGGATAATCATGGGCTGCGGCAAGGTGGACTGGACTCTGGGACTGTGCAAAGAGATCTTCAAGTTGGGCTGCAGTTTCTGGATTTCAAGGGGAATACTGGTTTGTTTCACATCTATAGGAGGATTGCTCAGTCTCAACTGATCAACTGCATGTTGGATGGATTTTCCTTTGAAATTCAAGACCTTCCTTGGGTATGAAATTGAAGGTCCCCAGACATCAATAATTTCTGTTCGGGGCCTACAGGGATAGGCGAATTTCCCGGAATTATGGGCTTGCTGCAGGGCGCTGATAGTCAGGAGGAATTGGTCAGGTGACATAGGAATTTTCCAAGACTTTTTCTTTGGGTGATTGAGCAGTTTTTCAGGAGTTTCCAATTGTCCTTGTTTTGGTGCTTTCTCCACATCATCTGCTTCTTCAAAAAAAGAAAATGAAAAAAAATCGGCATTCTGTGAAAAATATTAAGTACGTATGCATTAAGTACTTGGGCATTCAGACTTCAAAGCACATTGAGGTCTTTGTTGTCCAACAGGTATGCTATCATACAGGCAGGCATCCTCAGTCGTATTAGAAATTGCTGATACTAGAAACGATTTAATAAAACTAGTTTTAAATAAAATGCTAGTATTCAGTAAAGTGTATATTAGCCTCTAAGTGTGCATATTTTGAAGGCAACATGTGATTTCGATACTCTACTTATTTTTGAAAATGTGAAGTTGGGGCCGGGAGCAGTGGCTCACGCCTGTAATCCCAGCACTTTGGGAGGCCAAGGCAGGCGGATCACGAGGTCAGGAGATCCAGACCATCCTGGCTAACACGGTGAAACCCCCTCTCTACTAAAAATACAAAAAATTAGCCAGGCGTGGCGGCGTGCGCCTGTAGTCCCAACTACTCAGGAGGCTGAGGCAGGAGAATGGCGTGAACCTGGGAGGTGGAGCTTGCAGTAAGCTGAGATCTTGCCACTGCACTCCAGCCTGGGCGACAGAGCAAGACTCCGTCTCAAAAAAAAAAAAGAAAATGTGAAGTTGGGAATGACCTTCACATCTCATTTATGATTCACACAAAGCAGATCTTAATAAATTTATAGTAGCATAACTGTATTTTTCAACAATAATTATATTGCAAAATTTGATCTTTACCTTATTAATCAAATTTGACTCCAAATAATCTTGAATGTTGCCCAAAATAAAACCTGTCTTCAGGCCAGGTGCGATGGCTCACGCCTGTAATCCCAGCACTTTGGGAGGCCTAGGTGGGTAGATCACCTGAGGTCAGGAGTTCGAGACTAGCCTGACCAACATGGAAAAACCCTGTCTGTACTAAAAATACAAAAAAATTAGCCAGGTGTGGTGGCAGGCACCTGTAATCCCAGTTACTCAGGAGGCTGAGGCAGGAGAATTGCTTGAACTCAGGAGGCAGAGGTTGCAGTAAGCCAAGATGATGCCACTCCACTACAGCCTGGGCAACAGAGTGAGACTCCATCTCAAAAAAACAAAAAAAAAAGTGAAATCAAGATGTCAAAATCTTCCCTATTCTCCTTGCAAACTCAAAAATTTTTCTCCTTTTATAAAAAAAGGAATTATGGTGAGCTCATTGTTTATTAATTTGTCTTTTTTCAAATGATAATGTATTGTGGATCTCTTTCCAAGTTAGTATATACAAATCCTCATCATATAACTTTTAGCCATATATAATATTCCATACAATAGATTTTTTTATTACTTAGCCATTGCCTGTTGGTGGACATTTAGTTTGTTAATGATCAACCTAGAAGAAAATGCAGGCACCATTTTTATTTATACAAGGAAGTACAAAATGCCAGCTAACTCCCAGAGTTGGCACAGATGCAGTGGGGTCTCCCATGCATTGCTTGTGGGAGTGTAAATTAATATAATATTTTTCAGGACAACCTTGGCAATATCTTTCTAGTTTTTGAATGCACTTATCCTTTGGCTTAGCAATTTCACTCATAGGACTTTACCCTTCAGGTATACCTGTACCTGTACACTGACATAGGTTTATACAAGGATGCCCATTGTTAGCGCAGCCCTCATAAAACAATTGTTTTCCCCCACCTTGAAACCAATCTCTACACAGAGTTTGTTCCAAAGAAACACTATTATACTAGTCAAAAATGTTTGAAAGACATTTTAAATTTTTATCTATGTCCTTAAAAAATAACAAAGGGACATCCCAGTCATGAGTCATGATGTCCAGAAACTTTTTTTTTTTTAGATGGAGTCTTGGTCTGTCACCCAGACCGGAGTTGCAGTGGCACGATCTCGGCTCACTGCAACCCCCACCCGTCTCTGGTTCAAGCAATTCCCCTGCCCCAGCCTCCCAGGTAGCTGGGATTACAGGCACATGCTACCACGCCAGGCTACTTTTTTTATACTTTTAGTAGAGATGGGGTTTCACCATGTTGGCCAGACTGGTCTGGACCTCCTCACCTCAGGCAATCCACCCACCTCAGCCTCCTAAAGTGCTGGGATTACAGGCATGAGCCACCACGCCTGGCCACTTTTTTTTTTTTGTAAGAGACTAGGTGTCACTATCACCCAGTGGTGCAATCATAGCTCACTGTAACGTCAAACTCCTGGGCTCAAAGGATCCTCCTGCCTTAGGTTCCTGAGTAGCTAGGAGGTGTGTGCTACCATATCTGGCCAATTTTTAAAATTGTTTGTAGAGATAAGGATCTCACTAAGTGGCCCAGGCTGGTCTCCAACTCCTGGCCTCAATGAATCCTCCCACTTTGGCCTCCCAAAGCACTGGAATTACATGCATGAGCCACTATGCCCATCCCAGCAACACTTCTTAAAAGGCACATCCCCATCTCTCTCTCTCTCTCTCCCTTATCTCCTTATCTCACATATATAGCACCTGCCCCCAATCTCTCTCGTTCCTAATAAAGTCTCTTAAAATGCTCCCTGAAACCAGCCTCAACTGCCTGTTCTCTCTTTTATTGTGCCCATTTCTCAGCTTGATGACATAACAGTCCAAGAAGTGAGGAAGCTGGCAGGGAACACAGGCGGGCTGTCAGCCAAAAACCGGAAAATAGTTCTCCCTCTGTGGCCTCAAGTCAGGAAAGGGACAATTAAGGAAAACCAGTCACTCTTGGGAGAAGCCAGGCATTGTATTCATTCCAGATTCTCAAAGATAAGCAAAGGTAGTGGCCTGCTGGAAAACAATAGGAAACTAGAGAGAGAGAGAGAGAGAGAGTCTGGATCTTGCCACTAATTCAGAATTAAGTATCACTGTTTGTCTTATCTCCTGCTATGGATTTTGCTTCCAAATTCTCCTGCCCACCATCCATGCCACTTGTTCCCTTATGAACAGAATAAACTCTCTTTTTACCATCTCTTCGGGGTGATTTTGACTTCCCTTGACTTTGAAGTTCCTCTATTAACACTGCTAAATTGAGATTGAGGAAGAAGCTGTAGTCATTATATACTTCAATTAGGGCATAAAATAATATAATCAATCATAATTAGGGCTGATAATTGGACTGATTTTTATACAAAATATCACCATCTTGTTTTTTATGGGTACATTATTATACATAATTATGGAGTACATGTGATATTTTGAGACATGCATAAAATGTGTAATGATCAGATCAAGATAATTAGGATATCTGTCATCTTAAACATTTATCATCTCTCTGTGTTGGGAACATTCCAAATCTTCTCCTCTAGCTATTTTGAAATATACAATACATTATTGGTTTTTTGTTTGTTTGTTTTTAAGATGCAGTTTTGCTCCTGTTGCCCAGGTTGGAGGGCAGTGGCGCGATCTTGGTCACTGCAACCTCCACTTCCCGGTTCACGCGATTCTCCTGCCTCCACTTCCCGAGTAAGGCTGGAATTACAGGCATGCGCCACCACGCCCGGCTAATTTTTTTGTATTTTTAATAGAGACGGGGTTTCTCCATGTTTATCAGGCTGGTCTCAAACTCCCGACCTCAGGTGATGCACCTGCCTCAGCCTCCCAAAGTGCTGGGATTACAGGCGTGAGTCACTGCTCCCGGCTATACATTATTGTTAACTGTAGTCATCCTACTGTGCAACCAAACACTGGAACTTATATCTCTTCCGTCTAACTGTATTTTTCTACCAAACACCGTATTGTTTATTGTCGTACGAAACCAAGTAGTTACCTGGAGTCCGTGAAAAGTAAAGAGAGTGTAACAACCTTCTAAATTGACTATGTGACAGGGAAAAGTGAAGCCCAGGAAACTGAGTCACATAGCACAGCTGTTTTCCTGCTCTGGTGCCTGACCACTGCTTCTAGACCTTTGTGCTGAGGTCTTTTCCATTAACCAGACTCCCTATTCTTCATTGAAACTGAGACTAAATGATGTGGAGATAGACAGTCTTGTGATTGTCACCTCTTTACACCAGAATGTGAAGCAACTCCCCTTGTGATTGTCATCTCCTTACAGCAGAATGCTAAGCAACCATTAGAGGTCATCAATAGTAGCCAATCTAGTCTTACATCTGTATGTTAGCCTTTGTATGGAAAATTGAATTTTGTTCAGCACCTCTGTTTTTGTCTGTTTAAAGGATGTTCACTTTTCCCCACTCCAGGAGCACTGGTCACTAGTCTTTGGTGTCCCTGGATGCTGCCCTCAAACTTTGCACTTGGATAAACTCTTTTAGCTAGATCCTGAATCTTTTGATTATTTTAGGGTGGCAAGTCTAAGGCCTAGATCGCATCCTGACTCCCCCTCCGACCCACTTTTCCTGCTGTTAAGCATTAGCTAACAGTCTCAGTTCCCTCCTCTCAAGAGATAGCTGACTATTTGTAGTGTGATATGCTTGGGGGTGATTTGTAGTTTTCTCTATAGATCTGTGGATCCAATTTCACCTGCCAAATATAGGGCTGGTATAAGGAAGGAGTCTTGCTACTCTAACCCACACATAATTTATTCTTTGGATGTCTTATAAATGGCATTGGCCATGCCTGCACCCCCACCTACACACACACACACAAACGCACACACACCTGCTTTATACGTAAGATTTTTCCAGCTACAAACATTATCTCTCAGATCTAAAAACAATACATTCTGCATAGATCATTTTTCTGCTTATAACAACTTCTGTCTCTGTCTTGAAGAAATAGTTATGTAATATATGTTTTAAATTTGGGGGGTTGGGGGTATTGGTTGCTTGCTTTTTGTTTCAGTGGTAAGTATTAAAGCTAGTCTTATCTACTGTGCAAAGATTCTTCTAAGTTTGAAAATCTTGCTCTTGCAGGCTGGGCGCAGTGGCCCACACCTGTAATCCCAGCACTTTGGGAGGCTGAGGCGGGAGGATCACCTGAGGTCGGGAGTTTGAGACCAGCCTGATCAACATGGAGAAACCCCGTCTCTACTAAAAAAAAAATACAAAATTAGCCAGTCGTGGTGGCTCATGCCTGTAATCCCAGCTACCCGGGAGGCTGATGCAGGAGAAGCGCTTGAACCTTGGAGGCGGAGGTTGCAATGAGCCGAGATTGCACCGTTGCACTCCAGCCTGGGCAACAGGAGCAAAACTCTGTCAAAAAAAAAAAGAAAAGAAAAAGAAAAGAAGGAAAGGAAGGAAAGGAAGGGAGGAAGGGAGGAAGGGAGGGAGGGAGGGAGGAGGGAGGGAGGGAGGAAGGGAGGAAGGAAGGAAGGAAGGGAGGGAGGGAGGGAGGGAAGGAAGGAAGAGAGGAAGATAGATCTAGATCTTGCAAACCAGAAGGTTCCCATTAACTGGGTGATAAATTGTTTGGAGGGTCAGAGAGAATGGCTCCTACCTTCCTGGAGGGTTAGCATATATATCCTCAGGAAACCACTGGCCAAAATATTCCATAAAGGAACCAGTCCTCCCGGCTCCCACCACCCCGACCAAACCCAATCTGCTCTGTGGGTTATCACTGAACTTGCTGGTATTTCCGTTCTTTACCTGAAGAGAACTTGGCCGGCTTCAGGAGTACTCGGGACTTGGGAGGTTTGCTCGGTAGAAGCTCTTGGATCACAGTTTGTTTACTGGATACAGATTCTCTCGGGCTGTGAACCTGCATATTAGACTTAGAGAGAATTTCCATGAGGCTGTTTTCTTCTTTTTCCTCCTCTTTCTCCTTCTTCTTCTTTTGTTTCGTTTTTTCCATGGCATACTGCCACTTTATGTGTTCAAACTGGAACACGAGAACATTGCTCTCTGTGTTGACCACCATCCTGGAACCGAAACAACAGGGTTGTCCACAAAAGCAGTGTGGAGGCCACCGCAAGATGCACTGCAATTACCATCCCACCTGGTCTTTAGACCAAGGGAACAGTGCCCAGGTAATGACCAAACAGACTAGTAGTGTAGGCGGCTGGAGGATGGAGAGTGGTGAAAGTTACCAGGCCATGCAGCAGGAGTCGTTAGCTTTGTCACTCTTTTCTTTAAAAAATAAACATGATTGGGGCACCTATGTTCCGATTGTTTCACTTCTCAAGTTAAAATGCTTTTTTATTTTTTTCTATTTTTTTTTATTGTGAGAGGGAGTCTCGCTTTGTCGCCCAGGCTGGAGTGCAGTGGCATGATCTCGGCTCACTGCAGCCTCCGCCTCCTGGGTTCAAGTGATTCTCGTGCCTCAACTCCTGAGTAGCTGGGACTACAGGTGCGCACCACCACGCCCAGCTCATTTTGTGTTTTCAGTAGAGACAGGGTTTCACCATGTTGCCCAGGCTGGTCTCAAACTCCAGGACTCAATGATCCACCCGCCTCGGCCTCCCAAAGTGCTGGAATTACAGGCATGAGCCACTGCGCCTGGCCTTAAGTTAAAATGCTTTTAAATGAATTTCTGTTCCTGGAGTGAGTGCCAAGTACCTAGGGTGCCAAGAAGGTACTCTGCACACAGATGTCTTGAAATTCACTGTTTTTGTTTGTTTGTTTGTTTCAAGCACAGCTTCCAAACCCAGTATTACTATTGCTGCTGGGAATGAGGAAAGCTCTCTCATGGGGAGGACTCCTCTGCTTCACAGACCCTCCACACAGACACCACACACTGCATGCCGTCACTCCAGGATCTCTGCACACACTCTAGATGTAGACAGAACATCTGTACTTTATAAAGTGAGATGATTTCTAACTTCTCTAATCCCCACTTGTATGCTCCGTAGACAAAGAGCTCCAGAGCTTGCCCTCCCTGTCCCCTGCCTGTGCCCCCGCAGCACTGCCTTCCCAACCCACCAGTTTTACAAGCAAGCAGCTCTCGCCTTTCTGTGCTCTTCCCTTAACTGTCAACAAGAAATGAAAACACTCTGGCAGATTTCTTTCTGCTCCAAAGGCTGCAATGTTAAGACCTTAACCAACAGCATAAACTCTCTCGAAAAGTAACTTGTTTTGGCTGGAACTGCTGGAACGGAATGCGGGGTGTCATGCCAATAAGAAATCCCTTTTAGACTCAAGCCGAAAGGAAAACACCTTTCTTTGGATGCTGTGAGTGCAAACCAGTTAGAGCTTTTTTTTTTTTTTTTTTTTAAAACAGCGTGACTGAAAAGTGTTCATTAATTGAGGCTTATCACTAGGCTGCCCTCTTTAAGATGGTAAATAATACTAATGAAGTTTCACTAAAAGGAAGGCAATATGGTTCAGGGACAAGTGATGTCTCAAGTGAGCTTGAAGTAGAATTTACAGGTTAGTTCTATTTGGTTTTTTTCATATAATAGCATCCTGAATCTATGCATATATAAAGCACAGTACTGTATACAATGCAGTCAGTCATGGTACTGGTTTTGTAAGCTCACGAGCTCAGCTCCCCCGCACTGTACCCTCTGCTGCTGCCACCCCCCACCCTCCTATATGTCTCTTTGCATTAGAAGTGAGGCATCAAAGATAGCTAGCTGATAGAGCTCTCAGGCAGCCAAAGGCATGATCAAAGAGCAAGCAGGGGCTGCACGTTGGTAGAACTATGGTCCTTACAGAAGCGTTATGTTGCACCCACTGCAATTCCCACAAATACCCAGGATGAATTAAGAGTCAAAACAGGCCGGGCATGGTGGCTCACACCTGTAATCCCAGAGCTTTGGGAGGCCGTGGCGGGTGGATCACGAGGTCGGGAGTTCAAGATCAGCCTGGCCAAGATGGTGAAACCCCGTCTCTACTAACAATACTAAAAATTAGCTGGGCATATTGGTGGGCGCCTGTAATCCCAGCTACTTGGCCGACGGAGGCAGAGAATTGCTTGAACCCGGAAGGCGGAGGTTGCAGTGTGCCGAGATCGAGATCGCACCACTGCGCTCCAGCCTGTGCAACAGAGTGAAACTATGTCTCAAAAAAAAAAAGTCAAAATGAACCATGATTGCTTCCCAATTGCTAAGTTTTGTGCAAAGCCCTGTTAGTCCCCACAACAAGACTGTTGCCCCACCCAGCCAAAATTGTAGAGAGTCACTGCTCACTGTCTTCTCCTGACAGCAGATCCAGGGCTGGTATCCCAAGGGAGGAAAAAATCAAACAGAATCGCTCACAGTTCTGACCTCCGCACCTACCACCCACCTGTTGCCCTGAATAAAGAAGGACAGCACAGGATCGCCTCTGCCATTGGCTTTTATCACCTTCATACAGTTCCCGTTGAGGAAATTGTAAATTCTGATCTTGCCATCTGCGCAGGCGCTGATGACCCGGAGGAAGAGAAGGGACACGTGGAGCACCTCCCTGGAAGGGAACAGAGCAGCAGGCAGTACCCATCCTCTCGTAAAATGCCTGGATTTGTTAGTAGGTTGGGGGTATTTTGTGTGTGATTGAGAGGCAGTGGTCATAACTGGCCTTGAAAAGGTGTTTGCTGTGATTTTTTTGTTTTTGAGATGGAGTTTCGCTCTTGTTGCCCAGGCTGGAGTGCAATGGTGCAATCTTGGCTCACTGCAACCTCCGCCTACCAGGTACAAGCGATTCTCCTGTCTCAGCCTCCCAAGTAGCTCAGATTACAGGCATGCACCACCACACCTGGCTAATTTTTTTGTATTTAGTAGAGACAGGGTTTCTCTATGTTAGGCTGGTCACAAAATGCTGACCTCAGGTGATCCACCCACCTCGGCCTCCCAAAGTGCTGGGATTACAGGTGTGCACCACCACGCCCAGCCTGCTGTCATTTTATAATTGTGGAACTAAACCATGAGCTACTCTCAAGACATACCTCTTTCCATTCTGCAGCTACTGTCCCTGCAATTAGGTCACAGGGTCACAGATGACAAAAGAAAAGGGCTGACGTCACTATCTTTTTTTTTTAATCTAACATATAGATGATCATGTTTGTCTCTTGCAATTTGATTCTTAGCTTTTACTTATACAATAGTCATGCTGAGAATTATTTAATGTTTTGATTCCTTTTAAAATAGTATTATCGGCTGGGTGCGGTGGCTCACGCCTGTAATCCCAGCAATTTGGGAGGCCAAGGCAGGTGAATCACGAGGTCAGGAGATCAAGACCATCCTGGCTAACACGGTGAAACCCCGTCTCTACTAAAAATACAAAAAATTAGCCAGGCGTGGTGGTGGGCGCCTGTAGCCCCAGCTACTCAGGAGGCTGAGGCAGGAGAATGGCTTGAACCCGGGAGGCGGAGCTTGCAGTGAGCTGAGATCAAGCCACTGCACTCCAGCCTGGATGACAGAACAAGACTCTGTCTCAAAAAAATAATAATAATAATATAATATTTAAAAAGAAAAAACAGGAAGGAAAATGATTATCATTATATTAAGCAAATACTTTACATTTGAGCAGTTTCTTTTTTATCTTAAATTGGTGACTTTTATTCTTTCATTGAAATATCCTTAAGGAAAATTGTATCCAGGGATGAAATCTAGGAATGTCCTTTTTTGATGGCCAATAGGAAAAGGGAGGGGGGACCAGGAGAAGATCTAGACAGATTCCTCCAACAAAATCCTTTCTAGAACCTTTCTGGGTTCCAATTAGACTCCAGATATGTGGAGTATTCACTTCTAAGAAGTATAATTTCCCTATTCCTGTTAATGACGCCGAAAAGTTGAATTTGATACCACCAATTTGTTAGATTCTATATGCAAAGCAAGTCCATCAATTCCTGCCAGCTCTACCCATCCAAGGCCATTCATGGCCTAGTTCATGTGCTACCTTCTCCAAAAAGCCATCTCTTATCTTAATTCCATCCTACATCTCCCCCCATCACACATGTACACAAATTTCAAGTATACTTTCAGATTCTCTTGGGCACAACTCATATCATTGCATACTTATCACCTAGCACAGCACTCAGCCCATAGTAAGTCCTTAATATATATTTGTTGAAAAAGTGACTGTCTGCTCATGTTTTCGGAGTATGGTCATTGCTACAATGTGTTAAAAGAATGACGTCCGCCCTGTGCCATTTGGCCTCAGACTTGGTCAGATCCCAGGATCAGATGAAGACTTTCCAAGGCCCCAACCATTAACCAAACAGAAATAACAAAGACCTCAAAAGGCAGGAGCATGATCAGCATACTCAAAGGACAGCAAGGAGGCAAATATGATGTGAACCCCTGATTATGTGAGATAGATAGATAGATAGATAGATAGATAGATAGATAGATAGATAGATAGACAGACAGACAGATAAAACTCAGCTGTAAAATAAGTATTAAAAACTCTAACAAGGCCAAGCATAGGAGCTTATGTCTATAATCACAGCACTTTGGGAGACTGAGGTGGAAGGATTGCTTGAGACCAAGAGTTTGAGACCTTGGCTCTAAAAAACATTTAAAAATTAGCCAGGAGCATGGTGGTGTGTGCCTGTAGTCCCAGCTACTTGGGAAGCTAAGGTGATAGGCTAACTTGAGCACAAAAGTTTTACATTATGAGGTCATAGTGAGCCATGATTGCACCACTGCACTACAGCCTGGGCAAAAGAGTAAGACCCTAGGGGAAAAAAAAAAAGAACTAAAGAATGAAAGAGAAAGAACAAAAGAAAGAAAAAAAGAGAGAGAGAAAGAAAGGAAAGAAAGAGAAAGGAAGGAAGGAAACAAAGGAAACGAAGGGAAGGAAGGAAGAAAGGAAGGAAGGAAGGAAGGGTGAGTGGGAAAGGGAAAGAAAGAAAGACCCAACAAATTTCTAAATTTTTTCAAGGTGGAAATATAATAACTTTGATGGTATCCTAAGCACAGCACAGTCTGCCAGTCATGTACTCCAGCACTGGGAGAGATGCCATGTGATAGAAAAGTTTGCCTCTTCATGTATCTCATTTGATTTTGCTGAGCTGAATCCATACTTCTTTTCCCATAGATCCCTGGGATATTTGGTAGTTCAGTCTATATCATCGTAGCCTAGTAATTAAAACCATAAGCTTTGGGATCAGAAAACCTGGGATCAAAACCTGACTCTACCACTTATGGGCTGCATAACCTTCAGAAAGTAATTTAATCTCTCAGTCTTCAGTTTTCTTTTTTCTTTTTTTTTTTTTTTATTTTGAGACGTAGTCTCGCTCTGTCACCCAGGCTGGAATGCAGTGACGCGATCTCACCAAAATTAACTTATCCAGAACTCTGGAAAATAATCAAAGGTTTACAGCAACCTAGGGAGGACTTACACAAGTAAAATGGCATAGTGTCAATAAGAATAATGAGACTTAGAGGTCAGGAGTTCGAAACCAGCCTGACCAACATGGTGAAACCCCATCTCTACTAAAAATACAAAAAAATTATCCAGGCCTGGTGGTGCGCACCTGTAATCCCAGCTACTCAGGAGGCTGAGGCAGGAGAATCACTTGAACCCTGGAAGCGGAGGTTGCAGTGAGCCGAAATTGTGCCACTGCACTCCAGCCTAGGTGACAGAGCAAGACTATGTCTTAAAAAAAAACAAAAAGAATAAAGAATAGTGAGACTTGTGACATGTTAACTTAGTCCCACTTCCCACCTCCCCCTGCCCAGTGGTAGCCATGAAAGTAACAGCCTCCAGTCCTGGTGGCAGAGGGAACAGAATGGACCTCGTTCTGACAACTACAACTACAGGGGGAAAAAAAAAAAACTCACTAGAGGGGCTCAACAGCATATTTAAGCAAGTAGAAGAAGCGAAGTACTTGAAACAAGGTCAATTGAAGTTATGCAGTGTGTGGAACAGAAAGAAAAAAAGAATAAAGAAAAATTAATAGAGCCCCAGAAATCCGTAAAACATCATCAAACAAATCATAATAGGAGATCCAAGAAGAAAGTAGAGAAAGGGGCCGGGCGCGGTGGCTCAAGCCTGTAATCCCAGCACTTTGGGAGGCCGAGACGGGCGGATCACCAGGTCAGGAGTTTGAGACCAGCCTGGCTAACACGGTGAAACCCCGTCTCTACTAAAAAATACAAAACTTAGCCAGGCGAGGTGGCAGGCGCCTGTAGTCCCAGCTACTTGGGAGGCTGAGGCAGGAGAATGGCGTGAACCCGGGAGGCGGAGCTTACAGTGAGCTGAGATCCGGCCACTGCACTCCAGCCTGGGCGACAGAGCGAGACTCCGTCTCAAAAAAAAAAAAAAAAAAAGAAAGTAGGGAAAGGGGCCAAAAGAATATTTGAAGAGATGATTGCTGAAAACCTCCCAAATATGATGAAAAACATTAATTTACAGGTCTAAGAAGCTCAACAAACTCTAACTGGGATAAACTACAAGAGGTCCATACTTAGATGCATCATAATCAAATTTTCAGATGCCAAGGGTGAAGAGTATAATGAAAGCAACAAGAGAGAAGTAGGTCCTCATGTAAAAAGGATCCTCAGTAAGATTAATAGACAATTTATCATTAGAAACGTGTCTTAGTTGGCTTGGCATGGTGGCTCACGCCTGTAATCCCACCACTTCGGGAGGCCGAGGTGGGCGGATCACAAGGTCAGGAGATCAAGACCATCCTGGCTAACACAGTGAAACCCCGTCTCCATTAAAAATACAAAAAACTAGCCAGGCATGGTGGCGGGCGCCTGTAGTCCCAGCTACGCGGGAAGCTGAGGCAGGAGAATGGGGTGAACCCGGGAGGCGGAGCTTGCAGGGAGTCGAGATCGCGCCACTGCACTCCAGCCTGGGTGACAGAGCGAGACTCCATCTCAAAAAAAAAAAAAGAAAAGTGTCTTAGTCCATTTTGTGGTGTTATAACAAGATACCATACACTGGGTAATTTCTAATCAACAGAAGCTTATTAGTTATGGATCTAGAGGCTGCGAAGTCCAAGGCCAAAGGACTGGCATCTTGTGAGAACCTTGCTGTGCCAAAGGCAAAGAGGGGGCAAAAGAGAGGAAGAGAAGGCTGAAATCATCCTTTGATAAGGAACCCACTCCCACAATAATGAACCCATTCCCACTGTAGCATTAGTCCAGTCCTGAAAGGAGAGCCCTAGTGACCTAATACCTCCCATTAGGCTCCACCTCCTAACACTGTTGCATTAAGGATTAAGTTTCTAACTCATACTTCTTGGGGACACATTCAAATTATAGAAAAGAGAAATGACAAGGATATTAAAATGACACACTAAAAATATCAATTTAACGCAAAGAAAGGCAACAATGAAATAATTCAGGAACAAAAAATACATAAGACTGTGGAAAACAGCATTAATAACAGAAGTAAGTTTTTTGTTTGTTTGTTTCTTTTTTCTTTGGGGTCAGGGTCTCACTCCATACCTAGGCTGGAGTGCAGTGGTGAGATCATAGCTTACTGCAGCCTCAAATTCCTGGGCTCAAGCGATCTTCCCACCTTAGCCTCCTCCTGAGTAGGTGGGACTGGATAGGACAACTAGTTAGAAGATCCACAAGGAAACAGAAGACACGAACATCATCATAAACTATCTAGAGCTGACATACATATACAGAACACTCCACCAGACAACAGCAGAGCACACATTTATCTCAGATGCACATGGAACATTCTCCAGGATAGACCATATGTTAGGCTACGAAACAAATCTCAATATATTTTGAAAGACTGAAATCATATAAAGTATGCTCTCCAACTACAATGAAATTAAATTAGAAATGAAGGACATTTAGAAAATTCTTAATTATGTGGAAATTAAACAACCTTGTCTTAACCACTGAGTCAAAGAATAAATCAGAAAGGCAATGAGAAAGTAGTTTTGAGATAAATGAAAATGAAAACACAACCTATCAAAACTTATGGAATGAAGCTAAGCAGTGCTCAGAGGGAAATTTATAGCAGTAGATGCCTACCTTTCTCCAATCAATAATCTTTCACCTTAAAAAACTTGAAAAAGATCAAATGAAACTCAAACCAGGAAGCAGAAGGAAAATAATAAAGATTTTAGCAGAAATTAGAAATAGACAATTTAAAAATACAGAAAATCAAATGAAACCAAAAGTTGGTTCTCTGTTTATTATTTTTTTATTTGCGTATTTATTTACTTATTTTTGAGACGGAGTTCTGCTCTTGTTGCCCAGGCTGGAGTACAATGGCGTGATCTCAGCTCACTGCAACCTCGGCCTCCCGGGTTCAAACAATTCTCCAGCCTCAGACTCCCTAGTAGCTGGGATTACAGGCGCCCGGCTAATTTTTGTATTTTTAGTAGAGATGGGGTTTCGCCATGTTGGCCAGGCTGCTCTCAAACTCCTGACCTCCGGTGATCCACCCGCCTCGGCCTCCCAAAGTGCTGGGATTACAGGCATGAGCCACCACACCCAGCGGTTCTCTTTTTAAAAAGTCAACAAATGGCCAGGCATGGTGGCTCATGCCTGTAATCCCAGCACTTTGGGAGGCCGAGGTGGTTGGATCACCTGAGGTCAGGAGTTCCAGACCAGCCTGGCCAAGATGGCAAAACCCCATCTCTCCTAAAAAATACAAAAATTAGCCGGGTGCAGTGGTGGGCACCTGTGATCCCAGTTACTCGGGAGTCTGAGGCAGGATAATCACTTGAACCGGGGAGGCGGAGGTTGGAGTGAGCTGAGATTGCACCACTGCACTCCAACCTGGGAGAAAAAGCAAGATTCTGTCTCAAAAAAAAAAAAAAATCAACAAACTATTAGCTAGACAATTGACAAATCTTTGACCAAGAAAAGAAGAGAGAAGACTCAGATATACTAATATAAAGAATAAAGCAGGGGACATTTCTACTGACTGATGGAAATGTTTGTAATTAGATAGTGGTAATGGTTGCACATGATGACTATACTTTAAAAAATACTTTAAAAATTGAATTGCACACTAAAGTGGTGAATTTTGTGTTATGTGAATCATATCCTAATTAAAAATTGCAGCGAAAAACAAATTACAATGTGAGCTATGGAAAATACATTAAGGAATAAAGTTTTTTGTTTTGTTTTGTTTTTTGAAACAAGGTCTCCCTTTGTTGCCCAGGCTGGAGTGCGGTGGCACAATCACAGCTCTTTGCAGCCTCAACCTCCCCAGGCTCAGGTGATCTTCCCACCTCAGGCTCCCAAGTAGCTGGGACTGCAGGTGTGTGCCACCATGCCAGGCTAATTTTTGTATTTTTTGTAGAGACAGGGTTTTGTCATGTTGGCCAGGCTTATATTAAAAAAAAAAAAAAAAAAAAAAAAAAAAAACTACAGGCAGGGCACTGTGGCTCACGTCTGTATTCCCAGCACTTTGGGAGTCTGGGATACTATATACTAATATAAAGGTGGGTGGATCACTTGAGGTCAGGAGTTTGAGACCAGCCTGCACAACTTGGTGAAACCCTGTCTCTACTAAAAATACAAAAATTAGCCAGGCGTGGTGGCGCATGCTTGTAGTCCCAGCTACTCAGGAGACTGAGGCAGGAGAATTGCTGGAACCTGGAAGACAGAGGTTGCAGTGAGCCGAGATCACGTCACTGCACTCCAGCCTGGGCAACAGAGTGACACGCCATTAAAAATAATAATAATAAAAATAGAAATAAAAATAAATTTATAAAAAGACACTACAAGTACAGAAGCTTTTCCAAAGATCATCATTCCTGTCAGTCCTATTTTGCATCCTCAAATTTCCTCCCTCATATCCATTCTGTCCCATGCTATGTGCAAAATCTTAATTTTGGTTGAAAAAATATTACATCAGGAATGGAAAGACCACTTTCTCCAGCCCTTCTTCCATCAAAGGACAGATAGCAACTATATCTGCTTTCTCACCTATGTCACATTCAAAAGATGAGTTATCAGTCCAATCGTTAGAACTTTCCAGAAAGGCAAGCTGTCAAATTATTCCTTGTTACCAATCAGTTAGATACATTTATTGAGCACAGAGCTCCTACAGACAAGGTGGGAGAAAGAGACCTACAAATGAGAGTATTGACCCTGTCTTCCAAATGTCTATGGTTTTTCTGTTACTATGCAGGATAGCAGGAGCTAATATGAATGGTATATTAGGGACTGTCATTCAATAGGAGTGGGAATTGTCTGAGAAGGTCTCATAGCAGAGGTGGAGGGAGAGGCTAATGGTATGATGGAACTGTGACGAAATTGCTGGGCTTGCTGGGAACAAATTATTTTCCGCTCACTAACTAATCCTACTGAATCCTGCTTAGAAGCTTTTAAAACATATAGTTGACATTTTCAGGTGATTTCATAAAGCTTGACTTCCTCCCGGAGATCAAGGCTTGATAATCCAGAAGGTTGACTAAGCTGGCTGGGTGGAGTTATAGTCTTGTGGTGGGGATTAAGAGGGCTTCGCACAAAACTGAGCAATCAGGAAGCAATCATGGTTCATTTTGACTCTTAATATCTAAGGGTAAGGTAAGTCACTGTAGGCCAGAAAAAAAGATCAATTTACTAAAAATAAGTTTCCCCTGATGGATCCCCTAGAAAGCCCACTTATTATTTTTATTCTTATTTTTTTGAGATGGAGTCTCGCTCTGTCACCCAGGCTGGAGTGCAGTGGCGCCATCTCGGTTCGCTGCAAGCTCCGCCTCCAGGGTTCATGCCATTCTCCTACCTCAGCCTCCCGAGTAGCTGAGACTACAGGCGCCCGCCACCACTCCCGGCTAATGTTTTGTATTTTTAGTACAGACAGGGTTTCACGGTGTTAGCCAGGATGGTCTCCATCTCCTGACCTCATGATCTGGGCGCCTTGGCCTCCCGAAGTGCTGGGATTACAGGCGTGAGCCACCACGCCCGGCCAAAAGCCCACTTATTCTTTTAATCAATTAAGGTAGCATTTAGTTTCCTGGAAATTTTTATAATGCATTCAGGGAAAGAAGCTATATTCATGTAGTATAAGAATAGCATAGAGTAGCATATAAAACTGATGACCATGGCAGAATTGACCACAATACTCTTTCCAAACAAGCACGGATGTGACCTCAGAATGCTTATTACTTGATTCCAAGCAGCCACCACCACTAAATTTGAATTGGCATGTAAAATGAAATCCATTTGCTACCCTGGAATAGGATCCAGGCTGTAGACTTGTAGTTATAAGTGCCTCTTTTTAAGCTCTCAGCTCTTTTAAAGTCTTTGGATCATTTTTAAGCTTTTGTGAGCACAAGCATCCTGGGATAAAGACCAATTCCTAGAATTTTAAGTTTACTAGAATTGGCATTATTTGGGATGGTTTTGCCAGTATTCATATCTCTGATAGCTATCAGGTATGAATTTATCATGAGGGTCATACATATAAAATTTCAGGCTGGGCGTGGTGGCTCACGCCTGTAATCCCAGCACTTTGGGAGGCCGAAGCGGGCGGATCACGAGGTCAGGAGATCGAGACCATCCTGGCTAACACGGTGAAACCCCGTCTCTACTAAAAATACAAAACATTAACCGGGCACGGTGGTGGGTGTCTGTAGTCTCAGCTGCTCGGGAGGCTGAGACAGGAGAATAGTGTGAACCGGGGAGGTGGAGCTTGCAGTGAGCCGAGATTGTGCCAGTGCACTCCAGCCTGGTGACAGAGTGAGAGTCCATCTCAAAAAAAAAAAAAAAAAATAGAATTCAATAACTTCTCAAAACCCCCAGCTCCTATAGTTACTTCGCAAGAGAAACAAGGAAGAGTGGAAGAGGTTAATAGCCAAACAGGGAAGAAGGTGGGGAAAAATGGGTCCCAGGTGGAAGAGGAAGGAAGCAGAGAGGGTGAAGTGCAGAGAACACGATGTCCACAGGGAGCAGAAGGTCTGCCAATGATTGCACTCTAGGCTATGACGGGGAAGGGAAGGACACCAGGTTCACCACTCCAGGCTTCACAGGCACCTACTTGGGATGCTTGAAGGCCATCAGGCAGCGCTCATACTTCCCCACCATGCTCCAGGCCATGACCAGGCCATCAGTGCTTCCCGAGAGGAGATGCCACTGGTCGAAGAACAGGCACTTCACGGCTCCCTCGTGGCCATTGAGAGTCTGCAAGAAAAGATACCACTGTCTTCAACTCAGACTGTGACTCCTCCAAGAACCAAAGCTGAGGCTTCTTCAGATGAATGCCAAAGCCACCCCCCATCAATCTGTGACTGCCATTCACTCGGTAGGTACCCGAGCTAACCTTGCTTTTGCTGTGAGAAGGCCAGTGGAGGCCGGGCCTGGTGACTTATGCCTGTAAGCCAAGCACTTTGGGAGGCTGAGGTGGGCGGATCACGAGGTCAGGAGTTCGAGACCATCCTGGCCAACATGGTGAAACCCCATCTCTACTAAAAATACAAAAATTAGCTGGGCATGGTGGTGCACACCTGTAATCCCAGCTACTTGGGAGGCTGAGGCAGGAGAATCGCTTGAACCAGGGAGGTGGAGGTTGCAGTGAGCCAAGATTTCGCCACTGTGCTCCAGCCTGGTGACAGAGCAAGACTCTGTCTCCAAAAAAAAAAAAAAAGAAAAGAAAAAGAAAAGAAAAAAAGAAGGCCAATGGAGTCCATTCCACGTAGAGCTCTCTCTCTGGTTACAGAGGAATGGGATCAGGGAGGGGCCACGTTCCTGGTGGGTCTGTGTCTGGGGCAGACACTACCTTCTTGGAGCACCAGAAAGGGCCAGAAATCACTGTCCTTTGCTGTCAGAAGGACGAAGGCAACATGTGCTATCCCAGCTCCTTGCCAGAACGCAGAGTGCACATGGGCCATCCCTGTGCCTGCAACTGCTGGATTGGCCATAGTGACAGGATTGGTGGGAAAATTCCACAGGCCAAGCCAGCCACTTTCACTGTGATCCTGTGTTCCTGCTGCAAATCATATATCGCCACCACCCGCTAAGGCCAGGGCTTCAGATCCAGCAAGAATAGGTTTCATGACCAACCAATCACTTTCAAGACCATCCATGTTCTCTCTTCATTAGAGAGCAAGGAGGAAAAAACATTCTCTGTTCATCCCCCAGTATTTTCTTCTTAGGAAAAAAATGCTTTGTTCATCCCTTCACCCCATGCCAGAATACAACACTTTTTTTTTTTTTTGGAGACGCGTGATCTCAGCTCACTGCAACCTCCGCCTCCTGGGTTCAAGCGATTTTCCTGCTTCAACCTCCCAAGTAGCTGAGGTTACAGGCGCCCACCACCATGCCCGGCTAATTTTTTGTATTTTTTTTTTTTAGTAGAGATGGGGTTTCGCTATGTTGGTCAGGCTGGTCTCGAACTCCTGACCTCATGAGCCGCCTGCCTCGGCCTCCCAAAATGCTGGGATTACAGGTGTGAGCCACTGCGTCTGGCCCTACAGAGTGCAATACTCTTGAGGAGAAAAAGGTACTTCACCTCCACTGCTGTTAGAAGGCCCTGAGCCCATAACTCATGCTGAGTCAGAATGCAGCCTTCCTCCACCAACCCCATGATACCATGGGTCATGATGTGGGCAGTGGAGCCCCTACCCTCCACGGACTCTGAATGCCCCATTTTGGGGCCCTCCCCTTTAGAGCTTCAGGACTGTCCTTCTTGACGGCCATACTCAGTTGCTCTAGGATGACCTGAGGAGCTAGGTAGGGGGGGCCCAGGGGCCCACCCATCTCCTCCCCAGTGCCCTTTCCCGCAAGGCAGCCCACTGCCCACTCACCTTTACCAACTGGGCCATGACAATGTGCCACACTTTCACCACCCCTCGCTCACAGCTGCTCACAATGTAGGTATCATTGATCCTGGTGGCCAAGATGGGGTCTTTGTGTCTAAACGTCTTCAGGCACTTCCCTGTGTCTACATCCCATACTGAACAGGAGGGAGAGAGAGGAAGAGATGGGAGTGGGGAAAAAGGGGGAAGAGGAAAGTTGACAGTGGAGTTCTGCTCCCCATCACAAAAGCAAAAGACTCATCGAGCCCATCAAGTCGGACTCTAGAAGGACTTCCCGTGGCCTAGCACCTCCACAGGACAGGCTCACCAACAGCTCATGTACCCACAGCACAGAGGTGCCCTGAATACAGGTGGTTGGGGGAGCCACCTGTTGGCTATGGCCCTAGAACTTAGCCTTGAGGCCCAAGTGCTAGACAGCTCGTCTCCAATCAGCTGATTCATCAAGCCTGAAACATGCTTGCTATCAAGTAGATTTCATAAAAATCATGGCATACAGCTTGAGTAGGGGCAGGTAAAATTAAAAAAAAAAAAAAGAAAGAAAATCACGGCATACATGTAGTGTTGTCATTTTTCCCATACGCTGTCTTCCTGACCCACACCTTCTATCCCCAGAATAAAAGAAGGTCGTCTACCCTCTCTTACATTTTTAAATACTTCTGAATCTGACTTTTGGATTTTATGGAGAAATGGTCGCGGCTAGGGGTGGGTTTACTGCTGCTTCAACACAGACTGTGTTACAGCAACTGCCTGGCATCTTGTAGTGGGGATGAGAGTGGGTGGGTGGGTGGCAGAACAGGGTTTCCTAAAAGGAAGAAGTTGATGCCGGGCCCAGTGACTCACACCTGTAATCCCAGCACTTTGGGAGGCCGAGATGGGTGCATCACAAGGTCAGGAAATCGAGACCAGCCTAGCCAACATGGTGAAACCCTGTCTCTACTAAAAAAAAACAAAAATTAGCTGGGTGTGGTGGCACGTGCCTGTAGTCCCAGCTACTCGGGAGGCTGAGGCAGGAGAATCGCTTGAACCTGGGAGGTGGAGGTTGCAGTAAGCCGAGATCGTGCCACTGCACTCCAGCCTGGCCACAGAGCAAGACTCCGTCTCAAAAAAAAAAAAAAAAAAAAAGAAGTTAAAAGTGAACTGTATGAATTCAGGAATGAAAACATTAAAGTCTCCTTCAAAGGTGCTTCCCAAAAGCACCTTCCTCCTCAGGCAACAGGACAAGTGGCCTGAGACAAAATGTAACAACAACCAGAGTTGATACTTACGTGGCACTAACAGTAAGCCGGCAACCACTCAAGGTGTGTGACATGCATGAGCTCATCTTCACAAGAAAAGTACTATTATTATTCCCCACTACACAGATGAGGAAACTGAGGCATAGAGAAGTTAGGTTGCCTGCTCAAGTCATGTAGGTGGTGAGTGGCAGAGCCGGGATTTGAACCTAGGGAGTCTGGATCCAGAAGCCATGTGCTTAACCATTTATGCTAGGTTAGCCCTAACTATGTAAGTGTGCTTTCCTTCGCTTATATTTTATGTATATATCTTGGCCCATTTATAAAATTACCAATGGGGCTCTCGTGAGGATTAAATAATGTATGTTAAGCATCTGTCACAAAATTGGTACTCAGTAAATGGCAGCTGTTGTTGTTCATGGATTTATTATATTCTCCACTATATATTTATGTATCTGCTTGCATTAGGAGACTATGAGCCCTTTGAAGAAATAAAAAGTTGTATCTAAAGGGCCGTATCCTATTCCTTTTTTTTCTCCTCAGCACCTAGCTCAGTGTGTAGCTTGTTGTAGGTATTCTACAGATAGTTGTTGGAAGGAAGGAAGGAAGGAAGGGAGGGAGGGAGGGAGGGAGGGAGGAAGGAAGGAAATAAATGACTGCCGGCCTATAGAAATGAACAAAACAAAGCATTTTGGTAACCCATAAGTTGCAGGAAACTTCTTAGAAAATTTAAGGCACTTCTTTCTCACCTTTTACCTGGCAATCTTTTCCTCCCGACACGAGCCTGTTCTTACACAAATCTATGCAAGTGATAGTCCCCTGGTGACCACTGAAGATTCGTGTGCAAGCCCCACTTTTCAGATCCCAGTATCTGCAGGAATCAGGTCAAAAGAATGTTTGTGAGAGCTCCTGAGGGCTCAGAGGATCATACTGCGTAGAATCCCTGTAGATAAGTAGGTAGTTGGGAGGCAGCAGAGCCTCATGGTTCAGCTTAAGAGTCAGGGGCCTGGATTTGAATCCCAGCTGCAGCACCTATTTGGTGTAACTTTGAGGAAGTTAATTTCTGTGTAAGTTTCCTTTCCTTACTGACAAAATGGAAATAATAATGAGTAGTTACATCATAGGGTTTTTGTGAAGAATTAAATGGACTAATACAGTGATTGTCAACCCTGGGTAACTTATACCCCCAGGGTCCATTTGGAAATAGCTGGAGATATTTTTGGTGGTCACAAGCAGGGAAGGAAGAGACACTGGTATCTAGTGCATTGAATCCAGAGATGCTGCTAAACATTCTACATTGCACAGGGCAGGCCCCACAGTAAAGAATTTCCCAGCCCCAGATGGTAATAGTGCCAAGGTTGAGAAACCCTGCACCAGTGGAGGTAACACTGGAATAGTGACTAACTTGTACAAAATGCTTGATCAATGTCAGGTGGTTTTCAGGTAGAAGCATCCTGAATGACCACCAGCCTTATAATCCATGGCACTGATTCAGTGGTACAGCAGATCTTCAAACAAGAGCAACAGAATCCTTTACCAGTCACTTAGATCCAAAATATGTATGTACATATAGAGCATATCTAAGAGATAGATGGGAGCAAAGATGAATTATCCTGTTTTTTGTTAAGAACACGTGCCCAAGGTCTCTCAACTGCACTTCCGCTTCAGCTGGGCTGCTTTTGAGACAGGACAAAGCAGAATGCTGAGATAATGGTTCTGCAGCAGGCTTCCTGAAGTCCATTCCCAGGGCCATCACTTACCAGCTGTGTGATCCTGGGCAAGTTACTGAACCACCACATACCTCAGTTTCTTCATCTGTAAACTGAGGACAATAATTGTACTAATGGCCACACAGGGGAGCTCACGCCTGTAATCCCAGCACTTTGAGAGGCCAAGGTGAGCAGATCACGAGGTCAGGAGATTGAGACTATCCTGGCTAACATGGAGAAACCCCGTCTCTACTAAAAATACAAAACATTAGCCTGGCGTGGTGGCGGCACCTGTAGTCCCACCCAGGAGAATGGCGTGAACCCGGGAGGTGGAGCTTGCAGTGAGCCGAGATAGCGCCACTGCACTCCAGCCTGGGCGACAGAGTGAGCCTCCGTCTAAAAAGATAATAATAATAAAAATAAAATTAAAAATAAAGCCAGGCACAGTGGCTCACGCCTGTAATCTCAGAACTTTGGGAGGCCGAGGCAGGTGGATCACGAGGTCAGGAGATCGAGACCATCCTGGCTAACACGGTGAAACCCCGTCTCTACTGAAAATACAAAAGTTAGCCAGGCGTGGTGGCAGGTGCCTGTAGTCCCAGCTACTTGGGAGGCTGAGGCAGGAGAATGGCGTGAACCCGGGCGGTGGAGCTTGCAATAAGTCGAGATCACGCCATTGCACTCCAGCCTGGGTGACAGAGCGACACTCCGTCTCAAAAAAAAAAAAAAAATTTGCACTTACTTCATAGAGTTATTGTGAGGTTTTGCATATAAAAACGATTAATATGTCTTTGGGGTTTTTTGACTATGTTAAGCTTTTTCTTCTAATATTCCCAAGGGTCTTGCAGCCTTACCAATGCCTTACCAGTTTCTCAGAGCCTCCAATGCAGCCACAGTGCATTGAATGATGGCACAGTGCTCTGAAAGAAAGCATGTTTTGAATTTCTGTTTCTAGCAGTATAGTGGTTTATGTCTTCAGGTTGGTTTTCTAAATTTATGCAAGAAAAGGTATTTGATAAATACTTTTAGAAAAATACGAATAGAAGGAACTTTCTGGATTTAGTAAAAGATATAAGCCAAAGTCGTAACAGTAAATATTATGCTCAGTGGAGAAATTGTAGATGTATTCCCTTCCAGAAGGGGAACAAGATGAAGATGCCCACTCTCACTGCTACTGCCTGCCACAGCACTGGAAGGCCTAGGCAAAGTTAGAAGGAAAGAAAAACAAAAGGTGGTATAGGCATTAGAAAAGAAGATAATATATTGTTGACCAGGCGCAGTGGCTCATGCCTGCAATTCCAGCACTTTGGTAGGCTGAGGTGGGCAGATCACGAGGTCAGGAGATTGAGACCATCCTGGCCAACATAGTGAAACCCTGTCTCTACTAAAATACAAAAAAAAAATTAGCCAAGCATGGTGGCATGTGCCTGTAGTCTCAGCTACTCGGGAGGCTGAGGCAGGAGAATTGTTTGAATCAGGGAGGTGGAGGTTGCAGTGAGCCGAGATCTCGCGCCACAGCACTCCAGTCTGGTAACAGAGTGAGACTTTATCTCAAAAAACAACAACAACAACAACAAAATATATACATATAGTAATTTGCAGTTGATAAGATTGTCTACATAGAAAAACCAATTATTAAACATACATGCTTTTAGAACTAATAAGACAGTTTGGCAAGGATGCCACACACAAGATCAATTTACAAAAATCAATTGCATTTCTCTATGCCAGCAATAACTAATTTGAAAATATAAGCAAAATTAAGATACCATTCACAACAGTAACAAAATTATAACGTTTACAGGCATTAAGTAAAAATACACAGGACTTTTATGAAAAAAACTTTAAGGCTCTAAGAAAGAACACAGATTATTTAATTGAGTGTGTTTACCAAACTAATCTATAAATTCAATGCAATCCCAATAAAAAGTCTGGTTAGGTTTTATTGAAAGTTGATCAACTTACTCCAAAAACTCAAAACTTATATACTATAGCTGTTACATAAAAAAGAAAAGTGAGACCGGGCGCAGTGGCTCACGCCTGTAATCCCAGCACTCTGGGAGGCCAAGGCAGGCGAATCACGAGGTCAGGAGATTGAGCCCATCCTGGCTAGCACGGTGAAACCCTGTCTCTACTAAAAATACAGGAAATCAAGCCGGGCGTGGTGGTGGGTGCCTGTAGTCGCAGCTACTCAGGAGGCTGAGGCAGGAGAATGGCGTGAACCCGGGAGGCGGAGCTTGCAGTGAGCCGAGATGGCGCCACTGCACTCCAGCCTGGGCGACAGAGCTAGACTCCGTCTCAAAAAAAAAAAAAAGAAAGAAAAGTGAAAAGTAGAATTTCCCTCCCCATCACATTTTAAAACATTCTCTAAATGCATACCTAAAAATAAAACAAACAATTTTCCAGAAGGGGGATTTTGATTAAAAACAGAAAAACAGACAATGGACTAGATCAGAGAGCTCAGGGACATTCTCATGCACATATGGGAAATTTCCATGTGATAAAGATAGCACCACAAATCAGTGGAGGAAGTGGCAGGTTATATAGTAGTTGCTGTGGGGGAGAGACTGCTGACTTTTTTTAAATGCAAATAAATGAAATGGAAACCCTACCTAACGCCACATATAAGGTTGAATTGCAAATAGATTAAAAAACTGAATGCAAAAGATAAAACCGTAATGTTGGTAGAAGAAAATATTAGAAAATATCTCTGTGACCTGGAAGAGGGAAGAATCACAAAAATGAAGGGGAAAAAACCCTGATAAACTGATGTTTTATTACATTCATATCGATTTTTTTTTTTTTTTTTGAGACCGAGTTTCGCTCTTGTTGCCCAGGTTGGAGTGCAGTGGCACCTCCCAGGTTCAAGCAATTCTCCTGCCTCAGCCTTCCTGAGTAGCTGGGATTACAGACATGTGCCACCATGCCCGGCTAATTTTGTATTTTTAGTAGAGATGGGGTTTCTCCATGTTGGTCAAGCTGGTCTCAAACTCCCGACCTCAGATGATCCGCCCGCCTGGGCCTCCCAAAGTGCTGGGATTACAGGCGTGAGCTATCGCGCCCGGCCCATTTTGAGAATTTTTGTTCAACAAAATTCATGTAGATACTGTGAACAAAGTTAATAGGTAGTCCTGGTGAGAGGGAATTCTCTGGCAGACAGCCTTTGGGCTTCATCTGCACTGTTGGCTCTCCTGGGTCTCCAGCCCCCAGATTTTGGACTTGCCAGCCGCCTTTATCACACAAGTCAATACTTTATAATAAATCTCGTATGTATATACACATTCTATTGGTTCTGTTCCTCTGGAGACCCTAATACACATATGAAAAGTGCTCAACTTCATTAATAATCAGAAAAGTTAAAATTTAAACCCCAATAAAACACAGTGAGTTTTATTTAATATCCATCAGATTGACAAAACTGTTAGAGTGACAATATTAAGTGTTTGTGAGAATACATAAGAAGAGATATTCTCATATGCTGCAAATGGGAATGTAAATTAATATAACCACATTGGAAAGCAGTTTAGTACTCCTTCCTAGAAATTCCCATGCTAAGAATATACCTTTAAAACACTCGTGCACATGGGCATCAGGGGACACATCCAAGACCCATCTCTGGCAGCATTCTTTGAAATAATGAAAAACTAGAAACAAAAGCCGGGCATGGTGGCTCACGCCTGTAATCCCAGCACTTTGAGAGGCCGAGGCAGGTGGATCACGAGGTCAGGAGATTGAGACCATCCTGGCTAACACGGTGAAACCCCGTCTCTACTAAAAAATACAAAAAAAAATAGCCGTGTGTGGTGGCAGGTGCCTGTAGTCCCAGCTACTTGGGAGGCTGAGGCAGGAGAATGGCGTGAACCCGGGAGGCAGAGCTTGCAGTGAGCCTAGATCGTGCCCCTGCACTCCAGCCTGGGCAACCAGGTCGAGATTCCGTCTCAAAAAACAAACAAAAAACTAGAAAAAATGCAAATGTCCACCAACAGAAAAACAAACACATGAGTTATGATAAAATCATCAAATGTAATACTGTATCTCAGTGAAATAAGTTAATTACTGCCACCTACATCATATAGGTGAATCTCAAAAATATAGTTCCATGTAAGAATGAAGTACCAACAAATTTTAAAAATATGATTCCTTTTATGTTGAGTTCAGAAACAGGCAAAAGTAATTAATACTTTTGGAGATATATAAGAAGGAAGCAAAAATGATAAAGAAATGCAAGGGAATAATTAGTATAAAATTAGGATAACATTACCTCTGGTTGGCAGGAAGAAGCAAGAAGAGAAAGGCACAGTGAGAGGGTTAGGAAATGGTGATATCTTATTTCTTGGCCTGAGTAATGGATGCATGAGTGTTTGTTATACTATATAAAAATATACATACATATGCGTTTTTAAAACACTATTTTGCCTCTATAGTCTGTCTCATACCCATAAAAAGCCGTGTTCCCTGAAAGAATCTGTAAGAACAAAGGTAAATTATTTCTTCATCTAAGAATGCTAATAAAGAAAATTTTTCTGACTTGCACTCATCAATTAGAAAATATATCTGATAAGTGTTATAAATCTATCAAATTCAAATTTTAAGCATTATATACATTCCTGACTTTTTCCTTGCCAAAATAATAAGCTGAAGCTATTCTAGAAGTCAGTATCTTCTAGGATAACTGTTAAATATAAAAAGAAAAAAGCATGCCCACTTCCTCCATGAGCTGCCTCTAGGCCTTAGGTGGGATGGGGATCGTGATGCCTTTGGACTCCTCACCTGATACTTAGGTCATAGCTCCCGCTTAGGAGAAAATTTTCCTCCTCACATAGGAAGAGGGCCCGGACACTCCCAGCATGGCCTCGGAATTCAACGGGTATCACTTTTCCTTGTATGATGTCCAGAAGATGGATCTTTCGATTAGATGACACAGCTATCAGATCTCCCCCGGAATAGTGGATGACTCTTTTTTGATCCCACCTGAGTGCCAGGGGAAAAGGATTATCCATGAAAGAAGAGTCTGTGTCCTTCCTGGGACTGACTTAGCCCCCTGACTTTCGCCTACAGCAGTGGTGTAAAGAAAAAATCAGGGCCTTTCAACAAGGGAGGCAGCAGAAGGCAAGGTCGAGAATTAACAGGCCCTGAGGGATCCCCATTCTCATACATGACAAAAATCCATTTCCGTCAAATTTAAAAACTAAAGACAAAAGGCAATTTTTAAAAAAATTCTGTAAATGTATGCTAAATCCCCGAGAGAGAGAATGGAGTATGTGGCATTGCCCAAATTTAACTGATCATGGAAACCATTTTTCTTGGAAAACATCAGAGGAACACAGTTGGGAAGTCCTCTGCACACTCTATTTCTTTTCTTTTCTTTTTTCCCTTAATCAATATCCAGTGAGCATACGTTAGGTTCAAAGTCCTGTGCTAGCAGATACCACAGGAAATATAAAGAATTATCAGATAAGGACCTTACTTATAATGAGCTTATTGTCCCATAAAACTAGGTGAGTTGAATTAATGTTTCAATCACAGGATTATTAGCAAATAGGTAAAGTATGAACAGGATGACCAAATAATGTATTGTCCAAACTGAGAGATTTTTATTGTGAAAGGGGACACTATTTATTTATTTTTAGAGACAAGGTCTTGCTCTGTCACCCAGGCTGGAGTACAGGGGCGCAATAATAACTCCCTGTAAACTCCAACTCTTGGCCTCAAGCAATTCTCCTACTTCAGCCTCCCAAAGTTCTGGGATTACAGGCATGATCCACCACACCCAAACTGGGGACACTATTATTAATGACACTAGGACTGCAGAGTAGAGGGGGATCATTCCAACAAACAGGGATGTATACGAGGAGCTTTGAGGCCAACCTAACCAGAGAACGAAACACCATCTCTACAAAAAAATTCAGAAATTAGCCAGGCGTGGTGGCATGTGCCTATAGTCCCAGCTACTTGGGAGACTAAGGCAGGAGAATCGCTTGAGCCCAGGAGGTGGACGTTAAAATGAACCAAGATTGCACCACTGCACGCTAGCCTGGACGACAGAATGGGGTTCACTCTGAAAAAAAAAATACAGATAGTATGGTGATAACTGTTCTTTAAAATATATATGTGTGTGTGTGTATATATACTTTTTTTATATATATACATGTACATATGTGTATGTGTGTGTATATATACTTTTTAATATACATACATGTACATATGTGTATATGTGTGTGTATATATATGTATATGTACACACATATATATTATAAGGAGCAATTCTTGATATTTTTGCCCTTATTCATACCTAGAGTTCAACGAGTCACCATCTCTTCTAAAGAACAGTTATCACCACACTATCCATAAAAACTTGACTTTGCCTTTCCCCTATCTTATCTTCTCTGTCTTCCTCATACTGACTGTTCTATTGTCAAGATGCAATTTGTTAATAAGATTCATGGCCAAAAATAAAGTAGAGGTGGACTTTGCAAAACCTTGTGAATATAAAGTGAAGTCCTAGGCCTAAATATGGCAGAAAGTTGATTATTAAAGTAACTTCTTCTCTCGGCATATTGAAATGATGTCAGAGTATGCAATTATAAATACGACTGTCATATTTACCATGGGAAGATATCTATAGTACTTTGCTAGGCTAGGTTACAGAAATATGTGTACTATAACACCACCGCTATTTAAATTTGTGCTAAGTATGCAAAGAAAAGAATTCTAGAAGGCTAGACATCAATATTAATGGTGGTTATTGCTAGGTGATAGACTACAGGAAAACTTTGCCTTTCTCTATACATTTTCTGGCATTTAGAAGACTTTTTCCAATAACTGTATATTATTTCTAAAATTAATATAACAAAATAAAGAGATTTCAAAAAATAAAGATTTTATGTGTGACTTGTGCAAAAGGTTCTTGGTCAGCATACCCAAAATTTATAAAGGGAAAATGTCCTTTACCCACTGCCAAGAATGGTGCAAAATGAAGCAGCTATTGTCTTCATGAGATCACGTGCAAGTTTAGGGCTGGAGCTTGAGGTGAGGAGAGCTTGCCTTTCCATGTACACAAAGGTCAGGGAAATCCCAAGTGTCAGTATGGATAACTCAAGCGTCCCTAGAGACCCAGATTCTGAACCCAGTACCTACGTGTCAGAGAGAATGCGAACATTGTAGGTTCCACAGAAAATATTTCTCTCCTCCATTAGGACCTGCTGCGTTTCCTGGTTCTGGTATGCAGTCCACAGGTTGTACTCATTCTAACAAGGGAATATTTGAAGTTAAATCTCAGTGGTAACTTCAAATACCCACAGTCCCAGAGCCCCTAGGGTCTCCCTGGCAAGGGCACAGGGCTCACGGATTCTTCCTCTGAAGGCTGAGGCTGCTGCTCTGCAGAGAAGGGAGCAGCTGGTGAGCAAGCACCAAAGGAAACCGTGAGTTAAAAAGTGTTGGGTCAAGGTTCTTAATTTTTGTTTCACCTCTTTGATTTTCCATGTGCCCTGATTCCATGAACTTTCAAGGCTGAATTCCAAATGTCACCAATAGCACAACTTTTTCAAAAATGAGCTCACAAAGGGTATCCTCACAACATAAAGTCACAGGTGCCCTTTGACTGACCATTTCACAGAAGTCGGAATGTCATGTGTATATTACATCTACCTGATAGTACAAAGCACACTCAGGGATTTTAAGCCACATGTAAAATTACTGCTATACATGCTATGCATGTGCTTTTTTTTTTTTTTTTTTTAAGAACCGGAAGTTCGCTGTGGTCGCCAGGCGGAAGCATGGGTGCGATCGCAAGCCCACGCAACCCTCCAACCTCCTGGATTCAAGCGATTCTCTGCCACCCTCCCAGAGTAAGCCTGGGACTACAAGCATGCGCCACCATGCCCCAGCTAAATTTGTATTTTTTAGTAAGGCAGCGGTCTTTCACGCCATGTGTGCCGCCAGGATGGTCTTCTGATCTCTTGACCTTGGTATCTGCCGCCAGTCGCCTCCCAAAGTGACGGATTAACAGGCGTTGAGCCACCACGCCTGGCCGCCATTTTTTTTTTAAGACAGTTTTGGCTTTCTCTCACCCAGGCTGGAGTCGCAATCGGCGGCGATCTTGGCTCACTGCAACGTCCCTGCCTCCCAGTTCAAAGCAATTCTCCACTGCCTCAACCTGCTAAGAGGGGGAGACAGCATTGCGCCATCAACGCCTGAACTAAGTTTTTGTATTTAGTAAGAGACTGGGGTTCACCATGTTGGCCGGCCTGGTCTCGAACTCTTGACGCTCAGGTGGTCCTGCCTGCCGTCGGCCTCCCAAAAGTGCTAGGATTACCAGGCCTGAGCACCACGCCCCCCTTGCATTTGCCATTAAAGTTCAATACATCTGCAACCCATTTGTCCTTGCAGCTGCCTTACAAGGAGACACTTGCCCACACAAAATGCTTCTCATTATTTACAAGATAAGGTATCGGAACCTCCAAGGAAAGGAAAGTCAATTTATAAGCTTGACAGGGTGCTTTGTTGCTTCCAGTCTTTCTTATCTTCCCCTGCCGCCTTCATCTGCTCCCTCTCTTTCCCTCCTCTATCACATACCTTCTGCAGCGGTACAGGCATTCCAGACCATGCTAAATGTCCTCGGCAATAGGATCGACGAACTAGATTCTCAGTCCATTTATATCCTGCCATATTCTATCCTCAAATATCCAAAATACAAAGTCCATTAAGACTAAGCAGGAAAGAAAAAGCCAGAAAGATATTTATCTTGAAGGCAAAGAAGCAACACAGCATCATGGTTGCAACCTGAGACCTCTTGGGGAACATTCCTGAAGTCTTCCTTCCAAACCTTAGCCTTCTGCTCCGCAGCCTGTAGACTCTCCTCAGATGCCTCTTTCCGCTCCCCTCCCTTTAATCTTTAACCATGTAGCAATGTCCACCAAGAAGTTTCCTGCCCGGAAAGAATCTGCCAACCTGCCACCCCTCCAGGGGTCCAGGGAGCATTTCCAATCCCAGCCTGAATTAAATGATGCTGCCCTGGACCTCTCCCAACCAGGAGGAATCATTGGCCTTTGCTCATCTCCTAAGTTTTGTGAGCCCAAGAAGCCACATGGTGGAGTCATTGGGAGGGAAAAGACCTGCGTTTAAATTCCAGCTCTGCCACTGCCCAGCTATGAGACCTTGGGCACTTTCTCACAGCATATCCTTCATTTCCACATCCATAAGCTGGGAACAACGACATCTCCTTGATCTATGGTAAAGTCAAGTAAATGCTGCATGCAGAGCTACAAGCATTGTGCCTGGCACACAGTTTACACTCATGCTATTACTCACCACCCTGAGAAGCACTCACCTCCACTTTTCCTAGAAGACTCTATAACTGCTTAGTCTTGCTATTAATGTGTTCTCCATGCTGCTTCACCTGCTTCTCTCCCTTTTCTCCTAATTTTTTTAGAGTCCTATATGAATGAACCTGGAATGTGTAAATTGAGGGGGTAAGCCTGAATCTCTATTGTACTCTTTTTTGTTTTTTTTGTTTTTTTTTTTCCAGTTGTCATTTTTTCCTGTGATATCTCTTTTTATGTTCTTTGTCTCTTTGCTCGTTTTCCTCGGGTCCTCCTCGAATTCCTGAGCAGCAGATGCTGGAGCCTCCAGAGGCATGGGCTCATGAGCTGCTCCTGCCTCTGACCTGCCACCAAATGACCTGGTGCCATGGACCACAGAACACGGCCATGGGCTTTGAAGTAAGGAAGAACCCTGAGAGGACAACCAGATCAACCACCCATCCAACAGATGAGTAAAACAAGGCTTAAGAAAGAGGAAGTGTCAGCTGGCGTGGTGGCTCACACCTGTAATCCCAGCACTTCGGGAAGCTGAGGCGGGTTGATCACGAGGTCAGGAGATCGAGACCATCCTGGTTAACCCGGTGAAACCCTCTCTACCTAAAATAACAAAAAATTAGCACACGTGTGGTGATGGGCAACCTGTAGTCCCAGCTACATTGGAGGTGAGGCAGGAGGAATGGCGCAAACCCAGGAGGCGGAGCTTGCAGTGAGTCGAGATCGCGCACTGCACTCCAGCCTGGCAACAGAGTGAAACTCTGTCTCAAAG